CCCCCCCCCGAATGGATCGATATTGATTTCTGATTTGCGCTTGTTTCAGTCCCTCAATGACTCCGGACTCGTCTCAATCATCTCTATCGTAGTTCAACGTCTGTTGCACTTTACACTCTGGCTAAAAAGTTGAAAATTTACCAAATGTTGGCCTTTAGAAAAAATATTTTTTCCAAAGAGCGTATTTCAATCATAGAGGCTTATTATTATCAAAAAAATCACGGCAGTGGAATCGAGGGCTGATGGACAATTCGTGAGTAGTTTGTGCCAATCCATAGAAACGAAAATTTCCTGTGCTCATGCCGTTCAAATGGCGCAAGAGATTGTGAGAGATGGGATGGAGGCGGCTAGCCTAAATGCATGACAGCGGAACCACTTAATGAACTGCTGTGGGTTAATTTAAAATATATACCCACTGCAAGTCCTGAATGTTAGACAATTACACCCGAATTCATTGACTAAATCTAGCCTGGTTCTGTCATATTTACTCCCATTAATATATTTTCAGTACTGATAAGTGCCTTGAAATGCTAAAAAATTTCTCCAACTTTCTCGCCACTTATCTTTTCCATGATTCAGACAGGGGTCTAGTAACTAATATTGAGTTCAAAAGTAGAGATTTGGTGGATGCATATTGAGGTTGCAATCGCAAAAAAAATTGTGTAAAACATTTTAAATAAGCATGCAATTGCTCAATTCCAGCACACCTGAATATGGATGAATTGAAACTAACAGAAAAAAACGATTTAAGATCGAAATCGCTCTTGATAAATGAGTAATACAAGGTCTTGACCAATTCGGATTACGATTTAAAGACCCACCGACTTTCTTTACAAGGTTAGAACACCGAAGAAGAGAGAATAACGGTGAAAATGCCGGGTGTGAGGTGGTAGGGATGGAGTTTGAAACGTGTGGGGGAGAGGAAATCCATTATTCCACCGAAGAAAATATAAATCGCGTGCAGGTTGCTTAGCCATAAGTAATGCACTTCCTTCAAAGATAGGAATTGGAGCTAATTTTGAACGCCATGGAAATAATCGACAAATTTATGGATCCAATTTATCGAAAATCCGCTCATTGCTTTAGAAAATTTTGTTAGTAAAGAGTATGTTATAGCTCTTCCGAGAAAATGGACAGTGCTTGAAATTTTGGCCCGCACAGTTCCATCATTTATAGAAGAGTATCGGAATTACTCATGTTTACCTCACGGAAAAAGTTATAAAGTTTTATTTTGCCTTTGCAAGAGTAATAAATGTAGTTTTGAAATAAATACACACTCCAAAACCGCCCACTGTGAACACCTGTTAATCAGGCTAAATTGTAAATTTTCACCGCCCCTTAGAGTACAGATATTTGCCTCCGTATTTTTTCCTAAATATTGGGGTGGGGTAGGTTGGGGGTGGGTGTGGGGTGGGGGGTAGGGGGACTGGGCTGAGAGGAGAACTGAAGTCGAGACAATGAACTTATTGGGTTTTATATTCCCTCCCAGGGGTGAGTGATAGACCTAGTTCCATGTGGTGCACCATGGCCAACGTATGCTCATACGGCAAAAAAGTCTATTAACCGGCAGTTGACATCTCATACGGCAAAAAAGTCTATTAACCGGCAGTTGATTTCTAACTTCTAACTACCATGGCCCCGCCGTATGTCATATTCCACCGTTTCACAGTACTCACCTAACCTTTTTCTCTACTTTTGTTTCTGTCTCTCTATCAAAACGCCTTCCATTTGAAATAAATAAATATTCCCTCCCACTTTCTCCTGAATTGCACTCTCAGGCTGGAAGAAGCATGGAAACATTGGAATATTTCAAAAATAAGGGTTCCCAAATGCAAACACATTAATTTGTATACATTAAGCTGACTATTCCAAATTTAATTATTCTGTAATTTAAGGACATTCAAATACATCACAAGTGGATTAAAATGCACCAACTGCAAATAATTTTGTCGGATGACCTAATGACCTAATGAGTATCGGAGACCTATCGGAGTTCAGTCTAGCGCCTTACTCCTGTTCGTAATGTTTTTTTATTGTAAAATTAACTGCTACACGGTTTCAATAGAATTCACACATTGAAAATTGTAATGTTTCATTCCCTCCCACAGCAATTTTTTTTGAATGAATGTGGCCAACTTACACCTCATTGTTGATTTGGTTAGAATGTAGGCTGTCGAATATCTTGTTAGAAAAGTTGCGCACTTTTAACCTTTGACACCTACAAGCCGATTTACAAACCGCGGTCACTGTAGGCAAGCCTTCACTTCAATGCAAGGAGTCTATTCTAAGAGTTGAACTTCAGAACTTGGTCTTCCAAGTAAAGAGTCAAATGCAGTAAACATCTTTGACGCCAATCCAGGCGTCCTTTTGACCTCTAATCACTTATCATCTGTCTACTTTACTCTACAATTGCTTCTCGCAAAAAAAGCCGAATTTTGTTGTGATATTGCGAGTAAAACGATTCATAAAGTAATTGCCACCATTTTAAACTTGGGCAGTTCTAATGCGCTTATTTTTTTGTCGAAAATAGTTTTTTCCACCAAAAATGCACTGAAATACCGATTTTAAGCATGGAAATTATTTGCTCATACTTAGTATGCCTAAATTCGGCTTATATCTGATGAAAATAAATAATATACCAAACTGAGCCACTACCTCGGTGGTTAAATTTCATTTTCGGATAAAAATTGAATTTAGGAAGAAGAGGATAGAATGAAGAGAGCCGATTTAACGGCTCCTTCTCTCTCAGATGATTGAACACGGCTCTACAGAAGACAGCACTAATCAGGCGGTAACAAACCACCGTTCCGATATATTGAGAGATTGCCTGCATTAGTAAGAACAGGAAATTGAAATCCTCCTACACCCCCCCACCCCCCAACCAACTCATTCCTGTCATCTCCAACCCACTTTCTGCCTTTTACCGACTGTCACAAACTTCAAATTCTTCTCCCTCCCACCATCTTTCCCCCCTCTCTCGCTCAAATTAATTTCCGCCTAAATTACGATAGGCGTAAGTTAGAAAGTGTGTGCATGTGTGCGTACGTTTAATTTCATGTATGAGATATGAAAGTTCCGCAATTTGTTAGTGATCGATTAAAACAACAAATGAAATCTATTTAAAATTAACCCGAATTCTTCTTCCCATGGAGGGCCGGGAGAGAGAGAAAAAGCTGTCAAGAGTTTGAAAGAGGCGGGCTTTTTGGTTTGAAAAAAAACTGTAGGATGAATTTTTTTTCCTTGTGAGGATGCAGGAAGACACTCTTGTCAAACGCTCTTCGCCTCCAAAAAACGATGTCTATATAATTTTTCACTGTCAGAACGGGCAAAATTGATGCATGCTGATCTCTGACTTTCTTTGAAAATATGAAAATTAATCAGATATATTTTGATTTAAGAAGGAAAAAAGCTGCTTTAACAATGTTCCATAATTGGTGTCGCCATATTTAACTAGATGCGAAATTTGCCCAATGCTGTGGTTGCTCTGAACAGAATTATGCGAAGTGGAATTCCCCATTTTTCACTAAAATTTCGATATTTGCTCTTGAGTGTCCACACCCCTCAATTAAGTCCCTTTATATATACGATCACCATTCATTTCGCATTTAAACACGCGATCGACCAATTGAAGTAAGGGTCACATTCATATTCACGCATATTAGATTGTACACAACCTACCAACTGAATCAATAATTTTGACAGAAAATGCTTCTAGCAAGAGCAAGGCTGTTTTGATAAGAGCAATAAGGAATCGCATCAAACACGTTTAGTGATGATTAAGCAAAGGGAGATATACACACACACATCTACCACTCTTTCCGAATGACAAATGACATTGAGAGGAAAGATTAAATAAACATATTTCAAGGAGAAGACGGGAGGTAATCACACGAGAATGCTGTGGACTATATCTAGATAGTTGGACCAGGCTGGTTGAGGTCACATCAGCGCTAATTGTATTACCCCCATTTTGTAATCAACTATTCTTCCCATACAATGCATCTGCGTCGGATGTGACAGTCAAAATGTCGGTAGTCATAAGATCGACCCCATTAAGTATATTACCAGTGAAATGGAAGATATTATCACCTACTCTACGCATATATATATATATATATATATATATATATACACTTGTCTTGTTATTAATAATTGGTAAGGAATAGAATTTAGTACATTTTAAGTCCAAACCCATCATTTCACTACATAACACCACCACCTAAAAAATCCTTAATACTACTAATAATTATCCACTTTTCCGATCAATCCTAATATTTATGCAAAATCTTATTACTGCAAGTTATTCTTAATCTTAATATAATTATTTGTGCAATAATATGAGCAATTGTCTAAGCGCAGAGTGTGTTTTGGCATTCCGAAATTCTTAGGCACTATTCATGGCATTTGATGCTATCAACTATTTATTAATCATAAGCATGTGATGAATGAATGATAGATTAATAAGTTGTTCATACCACCATTCAGGAAAGCCTATTATTGCCAATAGATTATGGCCTTGAGATAGTGGGTAAAGTACAGTTCTAGCATGACTGAACCAAGGAATTTCATGCGCTCTTGAAATGTCTCTAATGTGCGCCCGAGCTACTGATCCCGTTATAGAGCAAGTGCGATGGTGAGTGCAGAGACCACTTAGCCACCAGCCAATCAATAGTCGCTGCAAGGTCAGCGTAGTCAAAGTTGAATTTAATGATTAAGTTCTGTGCCAATGGCTCACAAGCAGGTAGGCGATATTCACTCCACGCGTTTACTTTTCTCGATACTGGCGAAATAGTTGAGCCAATTTTGGAAACAATTTCATACCAGAGAAACTTACCATAGTCACACCTTATTTGAACGGCATCTGCAACGGCATCCCCCCTCCCCTCCCCCCACATTTTAAACAAAAGGAAATGGACCGAAATCGTGAGGTAATAATTTCTTGGCTCACAACATAAAATGTCAGCGCATCTCGCCATGGAAAAAAAGCTGGAAGCTGAAAGCTGCAATTTTCCTCACTATCATCTCCTGCTGCTGCGTAGATTTAGTTGGGCAAAATACAGAAAATAATTCATTTCTTAAAGTACGAGCTAAGGTAGCCACCTTCTACAAAACATACTCAAAATTCCGCCACCGTTGAGAAGTCAATTAAGTTAATTCGCTATTTTCAAGCTCTCTCTGTGTTAGAGAGAGAGACTTACCTCCACATGGTGCACCCTGGGTAGTGTATACTTATACGTCAAAAAAGTCTATTAACCGGCAGTTGACTTCAGACTACCATTGCAACACTGTATGTCATACTCAACCACTTCTACAGTACTCACATTACCCTTTTCTCCCCCCTTTTTGTCCGTCTCTCTATTTGCATCTTTGAATCACTTTTCTGTTCCCCCTCTCGACTGTTTTACACCTTGTCTGTTAATTCCCTTCATGAAGCCTGAAGTCAACTAAAGGGCCATTGATAACTTATCAAAACGCCTACCATTATATATGTATAATTTTGCAAACTAACCTCAGTGGGTGGGGTGATATGTTGACCAGCTCGAAGTTCTACCAATCTCTGCAGCATTTCATCGAAGTCTTTTTTGAGATTGCCAAGTCGGAGTGCTAGGCTTTCAATCACAACTGCGGCGGAGGCATTTTCGAGTCGGAGATAAGCCCACTTTTGAACCAGACGGCCCTTTGCAATTCTGGAGGTGGCAGTAAAGGTGACTGGCTCTTTTAATTGAAGTAAGCTGGAACTGAAGATGGGCTTGGCAACCTGAACCACCGAGCGGATCACAGATCGAAAGTGATTGGCTAAAAATTGAAGTGAAAAAAATATATAAATAAGTAAAAAAGGAAGTGCTTTAATGATGGTTAGAACGCTCACCCTTAGATTTCGTTAAAGTCTTAATTGGAATTGGCTGAAGTGAATAAAAGTGTCCATGAAAATAAACGTAGAATGACCTTGAGATCTTTTTGTTTGTATGCTTACAGTGTCAGAGAAACCGACTTGAATGAAAGTATGAAACTGGGAACCCACAAAGAGTTCATCACTTTCTGGAGTTGGTTGTAGGATGTCTATGGATCTCTCATATTGCTTCAAGCCCATTCGAGAGGATATGGGCTGATCTCGATCACTATCCACAGAGAGGTAGAAGCCGATAATTGCTTCATTGGGCACGAGATATTCATGCTCCTCCGCGTCCAGTATCAACCGAAGCTCGCGAACTAAAGTAGAGAATTCGATTAGGCCTTGATGCATGCAACTACTAAAAGCCAAAGCGAGCCACTATATTATTTCAGGAACTTGGCTAACACAAGGTGAGGAGAAATGGCTTTAAAAGTGAACAATTCATATTTCATTTGCTATTTCTTGTACTTGGGTTGATCCATGATCTCTACCCCGAGCAAATTCCTGACCACAATGTCTCATGCCAGCTAACCAAGTAATCAAATTAAATTGCCCACTCTCTCAATTTCACTTCATTTCTTCTATTTCCAAAGACAAAAGTTCATGACGTTTGCGGTTTACAGGCGTCAATCACACTTTGGTATTTCTACTGGCAATGGGAAGGTGAAATGACACGAGTGGAGAGGCTTAAAAAGGGACCTACATTCGTCGGATTATATTTTCAAGGTGAACTCAGCAAATTATTGGCAAACGGTAGGACAGATTTGCAATAATCTGTCGAATTATATGTGATAGGACGTACTTTCGTCTGAGGCTTCGACATTATTTTCCATACACAGTGGGATAAAAATGTACTCCCTTTAACTTGAATAAAATTAATTGAGAGTCTGTGTGTGTGTGTGTGCGTGTGCGTGTTTGAGCATAACCAAATCCGCATATGAGAACACATCACCTTTGTTTAACTGGAGGGGGGGGGAAGTGTGGAGGGATCTGAGATTTCCATCAGAGCGTCTTCACAATTGCAAACACTTCCTTAAGAGGGGATGAAAAGCTGGTAGGCTGGGAGCTTAGCGTCAGGAGATCAGCGTTAGTGGTTAGATCACAAAATCGAAGACAATTTAATACTCCGCTTCATCTGATTTCATCCTCTAAAGTCTTGATGAACATGCAACAATTTGACCTCACATTCTTGAGCACTTTCGTGCGGGTGTAGAATATTTCCTGCCAAGTCGATTTAATAGTTGGTGGGAAAAAAAATAAATTCAATCCCGAGGGAAGTAGTGTGAAGTTCAATTTTGGTGTTAGAGAAAGGGCAGTCTAATTAAAACTACTTTTTGCTGTTGTAAAACAAAATTAACTTTTAAAGTGATGAATTACAAAGCTGCGCGGGCACGCGCGCGGGGAGTTTAATCTTCCGGAGGGAGCTCATGCATAAAGGCTGCCTTAATGAAGAAAAGGGGGAAGAAATGGTGATTGGCTACGTGGGGGGGGGGGGGGGGGGGGGGGTGGGTTATTGTATTGTTGACTGAACCCTCCTCTCCCACCCCCACTCCCCCCTCCCACTCCCCCCCTCTCAGTCTGTCAGTTTCTGTGACTGCTCCGCCAACTCGTCCACTTCTGATTGATTATTTCTCACCTTCTGCATTTCCTATTACCCAACAAAGAGTCACCTTGGCGACAGATAGTAAGTTAGTACAAGAAGGTGGCGTTTATTGCAGACAGGCAACACTATTTCAGGTCTGAGGCGTGCCACTGTAAGAGGGGGAATTAACGGGGTCATTTTTATGCACTGGTCTGGAAATTATGACTAGCAATTTCTGAATTTCTCGGAGTATAGAGGTGTGTTGCTGTCATTAAATTTCTACCTTCAATCAACAAGACATTGACATCAAACTCAAGAACAAAGGATGTGTGGTATGCGGTGATGTGGAAGCGGAAAAAGGCTTAAACATAAGCCAGATACTATATCCTCAATCAATTTATTCCCTATATTGGATCGATAAATTAACTCTAATATTGATCATATGTGTTAACAATGCTTCTTGTATAACCCCGTATTAGTACTCATTTAGCATGACTCACCCCATTCTCTATTCTCACTGGAGACATGGTGGTTATGATCATGCCATACTCATAATTACCTTTTCTTACAAGACGATTATTTGACCGTTGAATTGGTGAATCAAGTTGTCTTCGTTGGTATCCACATTTGAATTCTGTTATGCTCTATAGAGAAGAGAGATGATGAACAACTTCACACAATTTATGACCTGTTCTACTGATATTTACTGCCGTTAATCAGTAAAACTCTTTTTAATGAAGACGTCAGTAAAGTATGGAAGGAGCTTTCTAGAATTTATTCGAGTACTTGGAGGTAAAATCGCTGCATGTACATTTTTTTGTTGCCCATTTAAGGCTTTTTACAGTGAATAGCATTCAAGTAATGAACCCAAGAACTCAACGTACCCGGAATCTCAGTGTAGCGTACCTCCTGATAGCCTGATTTTGGCACTTCCACTTCTGCAAACCCCCTCCTTGATTCACCATTACAGCACCAGTCTCTCACGGATATACCTTCTGGATTTCAACTTGTAAACTTCAAGTCATCGAAAGATATTGATACAAAAGTGCCCCCATCCGTAAAAATTCGCCCTATTTTAGGTCCAATTTGGGCGTACGAGGAAGACAAATGTGAGGAGGGCGAAAAATCACTCGAACTCAAGCCATCATGTCTCAAAAAGCAATTTATTTTGTACTTGAATGCCTTCATATCATTGTCTGTTTTTTTTGTGTTACATTTATTTTAGGAAGAAAATGACTTTGCCTAAAACCATTCTTATAGATACTTTAAAAAGAGATTAAACCATCAATCTGCCCTTCCAGATGTAGTCCCTTTCAACGTTTAGTCGGCAATGGAATTTACTCCGAAGGTAGAATGTTCAATAGGATTTTTTTTGTTCTGGGTTCGTTCTCGCTCAGTGGGAAATTAATTTAAGATAAACTCAATAAGCTGTTGGCAAATTCGTTTTTCTTACAAGGAAAAGTTAATGAGGTTTATTTTGGGGGGGTGGGGGAACTCAACGGACGTGACTGACCCCAAATTTTCATCAATTTCACCACGAACACGATATGGAGAAGGTGGGAAAAAAATACGCTAGTATAAAAATGTAACTTCATTTTTTGTTGAAAGAATGAACGAATGTGTTTTTGTAGAAAATGAAGGAGCATAAAGACGAACCATCGTGTCGTGTGGATGAGGGAGCATAATATATGCCAAGAGGATGTCAAAACACCCTTTGCCTTCAAAATCGAAGGAGTGATAAGGTAGATCGACTTTTGGGGCGTAATACAGGGGTGTGTGAGCAATAATAAGGAAAGACGCAGACTTTCATTCAGATTCACCAAAAGTGAAAATGAGAATGAAAAGTGGCTAGTTGACCTCATCTCCTCCATTCTTGAATCACTAAATTATCCCCGACTTACATAACCACGTCCATTTGGCAATCGAGTGGCATGGAAAGTCACTTCTCCAGTCCCCCCCCCCCCCCCCCCCCCCCCNCCCCCCCCCCCCCCACCCCCAATGCTTACTCCGTATATTAGTACGATTTTGATTGACTAAAGTAGACTTGAGTCATTTGAATTTCAAAAAACATACACCCACTCCCCTCTATCCGATTGTCATCAAGTGGCAGGATTGAACATTCCTGTCAAGGCAAATACGAACTCTACCAACCGTTGTGTTGGAGAGGAGCAATCAAAACGACTGAAGTACATGCCGCTGAATATGCTAATCTCGTTCAACTTCTGACCTCACTACTGCACTACTCGCGAATACAACGACATTGCTACACGGTTTATAGACCAAACCAGCACTTGGACATGCTAGTCATTTGTGATGTATATATATATATATATATATATATATATATTGATTTGGGGTGCTCGATAGACTTACCTCCACGTGGTGCATCCTGAGCAACGTATACTCATCATACGGCAAAAAAGTCTATTAACTGGTAGTTGACTTCTCACTTCAAACGACCATGACCCTCACTGTATGTCATATTCGACCACTTTCACAGTACTCATCTCACCTTTTCTCTGCTCTTTTGTCTGTCTCTGCCACATCTGTGAATCACTCTTCTTTCCACCTCTCTCTCGACTTTTTGTGACTTTGACGTTCCTTCCCTCAGTGAAGCCCGAAGTCAGCTAAAGGGCTAATGATAACTATCATAATGACTGCCATTTGAAATAAATATTGATTTTAATTGCAAGGAAGACCTAAAATTAATTAAATATTATTTTCTGAAGAGAGTAATCTCAAAATGCTTAGTTTGTAAGGGAGCAGAAGTTAAGTTGTCAAAGTTGGATAAGGTGAGCGTTGAATTTTACACAGTGGAATTCATTTAGACAGAAAAGTGAAATCTAACTAATAAAGAAGTCGAGCTTTCTGGATGACTCTTTGCTTGTTGAAGACGATTTGCCTTTTTTGTTACTCCAACACCTTAACTCAAGCGTGGAAGGGGGAGGGGGGGGCGGAAGAGAGGAGGGGCGCAGAGAGGGGGGGGTGAGGGGCGGAGGGGGGGGGAGAGGTGAGAGAACTTTCAGCTTGAATTATTGTGCTAAATTGACAAGAAGAAGAAGAAGAAGTGGATCTATTTCCGTGAGGAGTTTTCAACCCGAAAAAGATACTTTCCGGTTTAGGTGAATGATCGCGCTTTCTCATTCCTCGGCAGGCGTGCAATTTTCGATCAGCATTTCAACACACATTTTCCAAAATAACCCTAATCTAACCCATCAAGAAAAAAAAACATTAATTCCCCACCTAAAGCTGTAGGAAAAGCAAAACACATTTGACTGTGCGAACAACTTGTGCCAAGGACAATTCAAAGATCAATTTGAGATGCCGTCAGAAATCTTCCTGGGGAACTCCCTTGTTCTGAGAAAAAAATAATTCGCAGGCTTTTTTGGAAATGAAAGGGTAGCAAATTCTTCATCACTATTTTTTTTTCAATATGAAATGCGTATTTGAAAACTGAAAGTTCAGACATAACGTCGCTTTAAAATTTCAAAGTTCTTGGAGTGGATTTATCTCTTTCCTCCAAATCTCTCGGGCATCACAAGAGCTACGGTGTTTATCAGTGGAATCCGAAGTGGAAAAGAATGCATTTTACTTCCTCCATCACGAAAACGGAGGTCTCTGATTAAAAGTTAATCCCTCGTTGACACTTCAGAAGTACCGTGGACCAGTGCGTAATTCTAATGATAGCGATTCCCATTCCATATATATATATATATATATATATATATATATATACGCATAAATTTGTGACAGGAAGCATAGGTTACAA